ACATGAGCCACACTGAGCAGGTCCCCTTTCCTGGCTTTCCCAGGCTGGCTGGCAGCACTGCGCGGAGAGTGGCTAGTGCGTCTATGGGCGGAGGCCTGCAGCTGCGGCCATTGCAGACTCTTCTGCCAGCTCCGTCCTTTGGTGGTATACGCCCTCCTGGCCAACATCCAACAACTGCTCAGCACAGACATGTGGCACCACTGGAGCATTCCCCTCTCCCCCCGAATCCTCAACCCTTGGGAGCTGCCATCTGTGGGTCTATGTCCTCTTCAGGCCTCTGCCCACACCTGCCCCAGTGACTGTTCCCATATTCTCGCTCTGGCTATCTTCTCACTTGTCTAGCCTGGCTGGTTTCCTCTCAATAGCCCGTTAGCTCTTTAGGTTTGAGGGTGCTGCCTCAGTTTTCAGAAGGTCTATGCCTGTGTAATCCCGATTGATGGGTCTGTTTTATTTTATTTTATTTTTTAAATATATTTTATTGATTTTACACAGAGAGGAACTGAGTTAGAAACGTCTATGAGAGAGAAACACCCACTAGCTGCCTCTTACATACCCCCTACTGGGGATGTGCCCGCAACCAAGGTACATGCCCTTGACCGGAATCGAATCAGGGACCCTTCAGTCCGCAGGCCGACGCTATATCCACTGAGCCAAACCAGTTTTGGCTGGGTCTGTTTTATAGGTTACAGGTGCCGACCTGGAGCTAGACCCAGAGCCCATGAGGAGCAGGCCTGGGACCGAGCTGCCTGAAAGCATCTGCTGTTCCCACCGGCACCCTGAACAACGCGAGCCTGGCTGTGCTGTGGGAGCCACCCCAACCGCCTCCGTGTTGCCTGGAACTTGTGGGCATATCCATGGGCCTGAAAAGGAGAAGACTCATTCTCCCTGCCATCACAATTAGCTCAGGGAGGGGGGCGGGCATGGGTCCAGCCAGGTGGGGACTGCTGAGGGAACATGCCCATAGGGGTATCTCACCTGGGATGGCGTACACTTGGCTCTGTGGCCGCCCTGGGGGAGAGCTGCCTGTGGATGCAGCCAACCAGAGAGAGAGTGCAGGCTCAGGGGCACAGCCTGGCAGCTGTGTGAGCTTTGCCTCTTGCTCAGCCACCCCAGGAGATCACTTACCCCGAGAATTCACTGTCACACACAGCCCTTCTTAATGAATCAACCCAGTGTGCGTTACGTTCTTGTGTCCTTCTGTTCTCCTGAGCCATCTCTCTTTCTCCCCGACCTGCACACGCATCCCATCATCAGTATCCTCACTCCAGGGAGCCTCCCCTGATCTGTCCGACTCCCTACAAGCCCAGATCAAGACTGCTCTGGCTCTGTCAAGCTCCTGTCTTTTATCTGCTGGCTCACCTGTTTTCACATGAGGCGGCGGCCTGCCTGCCTGCCACGACCCTGCCTTTCCCAGGCCCCTCCTTCTGAGCCAGGCACGTGTGCTGAGCACCATGCTGAAGGGTCCGATGTATGCTGCCAAGGTCAGAGGCCCCAGGTTCGGCCATTCTTGTGGTTCCCAACTGGCATGGATTGGTCCCAGCTGGTTCTGGCTTTCCCCCACTTTCTACTCCCCTGCCTTCCCAGCTGCCTTCCCTGCGGACGCCAAGCTCCAGCATTGGACCTGTGGACGGCAGCCTCGCAGAGCGGCTTCACCAGCTCCCACGATCTTCTAAAACCAAATCCTTATAAGAAATCCCTATGACCGGGCTTCTCTGATTGATATGCCACGCGTATCGATTTGGCTCAGTGGATAGAGCGTCGGCCTGCAGACTAGAAGGTCCCAGGTTCGATTCCGGTCAAGGGCATGTACCTTGGCTGCGGGCACATTCCTGGTAGGGGGTGTGCAAGAGGCAGCTAATCGATGATTCTTTCTCATTGATGTTGCTAATTCTCTAACCCTCCCTCTTCCTCTCTGTAAAAAATCAATAAAATATATTTAAAAATATGTAGGTTAAGCGTCTGAGTACTAGAAATGGATAAACCACCTGTCAGCGGTGGTGGAGCCTCTGGCACGCAGCTTAGCCTCTCGGAGGTTGTTCAATTGCAAAGGTCTACAACAATAGCACTGACCCCAGAGGTTCGTGGTGAGGATCAAAGAATATAAAGCAGCAGAGACACTTAGCATAGTGCCTGGCACAGAGTGCGTGCTCAGGAAATAGTAGCTGCTATTGTCAGGTCATCTATATGTACCTTCTCTCAGTCAGGCCTCTCCAGAGACGTGCCAACGGCTTTCCCTCTGGTCCCACTCATCACCGCTCCCTTCAATCACCTGCAGCGTAGAACGAGGGAGGCCTCTGGTGTCTCTCCTGTCCACCGAGCTTTGCTAACGGGTTTGGGAAATCTGCAACCCCGTTGGCCCTTAGTGGTGAGTAGGCTCGTCTCAGATTCCTGGGTTTGTCTTCTTCAGGTTCTGTGATTCCCCCAGGAGTTCAGGGACCCTGGGTGGGTGTAACCATTTCCCCACGTCCGTTGTGGGAGCCCTGGTTCAGTCCGGGTGAGGCCAGGCCAGCAAGCAAAGGGTTCCAAACCTGTTCCAGAGCCCTGTGAGCGTGAATGTTATCTCTCACCAGATAAGGGGCTGTGCCCAGCCCAGATCAAACACTTGTTTATCTGCAGGCTGCTGAAAGCCAAACCGCTGCTTCTGTTCCTCCCTGGTCCTTTCTTTGCTTCCTCTTATCGCCTCTGACCTGTGGTGTGGTTTGCGCACCTGATCTGTTTCTGGCTTGGTTAGACTGAGCGGTGCCCTGCCTCTCGGGGCGGGGAGGGTGGGGGGAGGCAGAATGGAGTGTGGAGTGGACGCCTTAAATGGCACAGGGAGAAGAGTGCTGAACTAGGGGGTTAGGAGATGTCACACCTGAGTCTGTCTCTAAGGAATTCTGGGCTCATTGAACTGCAAGGGCTCTCTCAGAGCTGACATTCCAATCTGCTACAAAAGATGCAGTGTGAGCATTCTTAAGCATAAGGAAAGTTGAAGATTTAAAAGGACCAGAAAGTGTGCATGCCTTCAGGCTCCTGGGTGAGGGAGAGCTGTCTCTGACCACATTGTTCATTTTGTGTTGCTTATTTTCGCTGTGGGGTCCACTGAGCCAAAAGGTTAGATGGAGGGCCTGCTCATTGACTTGTTCGTGCAGAGATTGCTTGAAAAAACAATGACCATATCCCATGCAATTTCAGAGCAAGGAAGGAAGTTGGGGAGGGGATTCTAGAATGTTTGCAGGACATTAGGTGGTGGTATAAAGAAGTCCTTACTTTAAGAAATACTATTTCATATTATAATCAGAACTTAGAGGATGAATTAGTGGTGGGAGGTGGAGGCATATGTACTATTTTAATGTACAAGATAACTCCTCACTTTATAAAAAATCCAATGTGTTTCCTCCTGGGAGTCAGCTCGCACGGAGCACTAAAAATAAGGTTGAATATAGAATAAAGTTAATCACATGACTTTCGAAGTGTTATCACCTACAGAAGGTTACTTTTCATAAACACTCCCACATGGGGAAGAACCTTCTCTAAGATAATGTCTTTCTTGAGGCCCAATTTCACACGCGTGCCTACAGTAAGCGGAACAGGAAAGGTTTTGCCAGCTGCATTTGAAAGACAAAAAGCATTTTCTTCTGTGATGAAAGGTTTGCAATGCCCACATTTCCCCACAAGAGGTCAGGGCATCACAGGGTCTTTACTTAGGAGAGTGCCTCCTTCCAGGGGAAGATAATTCCCTGAAAGTGGTCAGGCAGATGGGACAGTAGTCTCAGCATAACTCCAAGTATTTGCCAGGCCTTGTCTGGGCCTGTGCAGGAGGCAGCCAATCCATGTCTCTCTCTCACACTGATATTTCTCTTTCTCCCCCTTTCTATCTCCCTTCCATTCTCTCTAAAATAATCAATGGGGAAAAAAATCCTCATGTGAGGATTAAAACAAAAACAAAAATAAGGGATAGGTATTTTTAAAGTTCAATTTAATTTTACTTTCATAATTATGTCCATACTATTGTTCTATCCAAAAATTTAGGATTTTTTTCTTAAAGTTAATTTTCTGAATTTAATATTCCAAACAAGTGACCCAAGAAACCCTGAAATCACATGGATTTTATACAATATAAATGTTTTAGGTGCTCTGTCTCTTGAATGCAGGAGGAAGGGTAGGCTTAATGAAAGTGTGATACAATTAATACCTGAGCTTAGCCAAAGATATGAACAGTGAAGAAACAAAGTGAATAAGAGGTACGTATTAAGCATTTATAAAGCAAAAGTGATGGTGTTTATTTTATTACTACTAAGTTCAAAGAATCAGATCTACCATAGATTTAAAAACCAAAAATTTATTCATAAAATATATTAAAAAGTTTGACAAAAAGATTACAAAATTCCCAAAACTTGAACATCTCAATATCACTTGCCAGTCAAGAATGGAAAGTCTCACTAATTTAACTCTGTTTCTTGGTACAAAAGAGATCTCTGTAAATCACAGTATTTCATTTTATGAGTTACGCTGCTAAACAGTTGCCCAAATTTATTTTGACTGCACAGTAGGGTTATTTTGTAAAGTAATGTTTTGTACTGAAACTTAGGGACTGTGAAAGCACTCAGAGTATATTTATGAAAGTTAATTCACAGTAGTTTCACCAAGGCAACCATCCTAAACCAAACTAAGTGATCCCTACCATGACCGTGTGTACACTGAAATGCAACACAGTGTTTATTATAAAATATGGAATTTGGGGACGCTGAACAAATGTAAATATGGTGAAACATAGACAAGTACCAACTTTTATCAGAAATGGAGAGAGAGGAACAGATCTGGCTCTGGAGACTGTGGTGTCCCCTGTGCAGGAGCTCCCGCTGGGCATTGCACACCCAGAGAGGCGAGCCTGAGGTCTATATTTGGGCCTTCTTCATCAGTCAAACCCAGCCTTGACCGAGGAGAGTCGGAGGATGCAGAGCTCATTCTAAATTCTCCGAGTGTTCCACTGGAAGGTTTCAAAGTCCAAAATCTTCCGATCAAACTTTATTGAGTTTTGTAATAATCAGTACTCTCACCATTTGATCAAATGAACTACAGATGCAGAGGCCCCTTTTATCCGGACTCCAGTCCATACTGGAGATGGGCTGGGTAGACAACGTAACATTCTGCAAAAGGCTGACCGAACCCGCAACTCCCATCTCTACTCCCTCGGAATCTTTCTTTGACCGCTGGGCAGGGTATTCGCTGAAAGCAAGAACAAAGAAGAGATACAGCACGTGTAAAGGCAAAAGCTGCAACTACCATTTGCAGAACCCGTCCAAACACTCCCAGAATGGATGGCAGACGCTTGATCCACCCATACTCCGAGCTCCATGCTAGATCCCAGCACCTCTGTGTTCCACTCTGTGAGCAGGCACTGCTGGGAGGAGATTTTAGACCTAAACATCATTGCTTCAAAATGCAAAAAAAGCCATTCTGAACCATGTGATTTTCTTTTAGCTGAAAATACAAAATTATAAATAAGAAGAGTTGAAGGCAAACAAGTTATAAATACTATTTTGCTAAATTTGAGAGAGGGGAAAAGAAATATCCCTCTTGGCATGGAGATGTGTTCCTAGTGAAATACTAGAGTATTGCTCCTCCTTAAAAGGCCTTTTAAAGTCTGTGAGGTAACTATGATACTACCTGTATTTTCTAAATGCTAAGAAAGCCAGGAGTTTCAGGACATAAAGCAACAGAGAAGCAAAAATACAGGAAGTGATAGGTGGATGGCCTACCGTTCTTTCTTCTTCTACTACAATTCCTTTTGATAAATAGTCAACAGATTTTTTTGTGTGTCTCTTGGCAGAGGCTGCAGCAATATAATATTTAATAAGTAACAAAGACTTTTCAAACCCTTTAGACTATCTGTTAAAGTTTTGAGATTTTCAAAATATGCAACAACAACAACAACAAAAGTCAGCTTGTCGGGGACCACTCATTCCTAACACAATTTCTAAATAATCAGATGAGTTACATTAGGAATTCTTGGTTAAGTGCCTAAGAAATATTTATAGTTTAATGGAATTACTGCCAACGGAGACTGGCAAAAAACAGATCTCCTTTGCTGGTATAATACCTGGGAACAAAGCTCCAAACCAATTTGAAGATTAGACTAGCTATCTGTTATGGTAAAGGTTAAAGTTTATTTTGAGATAAGCTACAAATTTCTAATTGCATACAGACTCAACTTCTCTGTATGAATTAAATCCACAAGAGAAAAAAATTCCAGCTACAAACATGGCTGCATGGCATAAGGAAAACGACTCCACGTGTGGATTGCAAAGACAACTTGGACTTAGTGCTTCAAGTTAGCAGCCTGAAGAGTTTGGTCCTCAGGTAGAACAGTGAGGTGCCGCCGCACGGCTCAGAGGGGTCAGCAGAGTCCATCCCAGAGGAAAGACGGGGTTGAACAACCAGAAAGGAACAATGGACAAAAGTGCCGAGAAAAAGGGAAACTACCAAATGACCTACCTACCAGGCATTCTCCCAGATTTCTCAACACTTTCCCTCTGCTTTTTACTCACAGAAACCATACAGTTTTGATCTAAAGCATTCATTCCTGGTTTTTGGTCAGCTATATTCCTAAATGCTTTTGTCTCCCTATTTTTTAGAACCCCTTCTAACTTCTAAAAGGAGCTAATAAGTAGAAAAGTATTTTGTGGTCTGGCCAGTGTAGCTCAGAGGTTGATCACTGACCCATGAACCAAAATGTCCCCAGTTTAATTCCCAATGAGATGCCCCATTTGTGGGCTCAATCCCCACCAAAGGTCAGGCGGGCGGTGGCCGATCGATGTCAATCTCTATGTCTCTGTCTCTCTCTCTCTCTCTCTCTTTTTCTCTCTCTCTAAAATCAATAAAAACATATTTTTTAAAAGTAAAATAAAGTATTTTGTAAATATGGAAGTCCCTCAAGCACTAAAGATGGTATTTTTCTTTTTATTTCTTTTTTCAAACATTATCTTTCATTTATGGCTTGTGTTTATTTCTCCCCTCCCCCCCCTCTTGGGTGATGTTTACAGAGAGAGAACCATTAATGCAGGTTTTTATCAGGCCTTTTAAATGAGCAGCTACTAGTAACTGCCACCTTCAGGCCCTTGGGATTCAGAGCGCAATGCATGGTAAGCTCTCCCTGTCACTCACCCTGCCTATGGTATGCAGGAAGCAAACTCAATGACAAGGCTTTTCCTGGAGACCATTCAGGGCCCTCGGGCTCTGCTCTGGTTCTATCACAGGGATGTTATCTGAATTTGGGCAACTGAATTATTAGGGTCTAAAACTAACAATTCCAGCCTTTTTCCTATCTTCTAGAGGTAGTGTTTTAACAACCCAATTATAATATTTCACAAAAGCCTTTGGTGAAAGTTTTTCTTAAAAAAAAAACACAAAAAAAAAACAGCAAAAATCCATGATTTCAAATCTATGAAAAGAATTGTTCCTGGCTTCTGACCGCACTACAATATGTGGAAGACAAGTAAATAACAAATATATTTAATGAGTCAAAATACTACTACTTAGTATGTGTAAAAGAAGTAAATTTGTTTTTTTAATGCTTAGAAAATAATACTTATGTAATATAATAAAGTTTGAAATCATAGCAAAATGAACTAAGTCAGAGGAGGAAAATACGGGGAACAAGTTCAGTCTATTCCTACTTCACGCCCACAAGTGACCCAAAAAGGAGCCGGTGCACAGCAGACTTACTACTTCCAGAGGTGGAGGGCACCGGCGCCTCCCGCTGTCAGGAACAGCTCTCGGTTCTGGGGCAGGTGTCGGACCTGCCACACGGTAGATTTATGAGCCTAAACAGTAAGAGAGGCACACAACCTGGTTATAAGTTTGTATGACAAAGACTGCCGTGGAAGAGAAACCCTGCAAAGAGAGGAATTTTTCTTCTATCTTTTCAACAACTGCTATAAAAGTAATTACTTTCTGGTCCTTCTCTTTATAATGGCTCCAAATTCTTAGAAGAACCCATCAGAAATCAAGAAAAAACATAATTTTTCTTAATTGTTTTATGAAACAAAGTTGGACTCGATTTAAAAAAAAATGTGTTATTGGATTAAAAGTCTAAGTTTATAGTACCATATAAACTATGCAAATAGATTTCATACATTTATGTCTCTAGCTCACTCGGAAGAACAAAAGAAACATAAAATACAAACCACATACTTCTTCCTAAGGGAAAAATAAAGTTAGATTGAACTTTTAAAAAATAAAAACTTTATTGCCCTAGCCAGTTGCTCAGTGGATAGAGTGTCAGTCTTCGGACTGAAGGGTTCCAGGTTTGATTCTGGCCAAGGGCACATGCCCAGGTTGTGGGCTCAACCTCCAAGAGAGGCATGTAGGAAGCAGCCAGTCAATGATTCTCTCTCATCACTGATGTTTTCTTCTCTCTCTCCCTCTCCCTTCCTCTCTGAAATCAATAAAATATATATTAAAAAATAATAAACTTTATGTTTTAGGTCCACAGCAAAACTGAGTGGATAGTAGAATTCCCACAGACAGAATGAAATTTAACTGAAAGCTCCCAGAGCTTTATTTTCATTCTAAACCAATGGACTTGTGTGGTCTTCAAAATAAGGGCCATAAGGACTTATGTACAGTGTTTATGGTCATAATATACATCTACATCTACACAATGGAATACTACGCTGCTGTAAAAAAGGAACTTTTACCATCTGCAACAGCATGGATGGAACTGGAGAGCATTATGCTAAGTGAAATAAGCCAGTCGGAGAAAGGTAAGTATCACATGATCTCACTCATATGTAGGATATAATGATCCACACAAACTGATTAACAAAAACAGATCCAGAGACAAGGTAGCACTGAACAGACCAGTCAACCTCAGAGAGAAGGCAGGAGAGGGGTGGGGAGTTAGAGACCAACCAAAGGACTTGTATGCGTGCATATTAGCAAAACCAATGGACAGACACTGGGGTGGTGGGAACTTGCCCTCAGGGGTGGGGTCGACTGGGAAAAAAGGAGACATGTTATACTTAAAAGAAAAAAAAAGAAAAAAAGATAAAAAAAACCATACACACACACACACACACACACACACACACCCACATCTCAAAATATACACTTTAAGTGTGTGAGTTCTCAAGTGATTAGGTTCAAGCTCTTAAAACTTAATTTGTTTTATAGTTTTTTTTAAAAAAAATTAAGCTGGAAGATGATTTAAAAAAAAAAAAAACCTAACCAAGAGGAGATATGACCTCTTAAAATACAATAGTCATTTATTTGTCAGACTAAACAATTACTAGATTAACTAAACGTAAGAAAATTTTTTTGAAGATAACACTATAATTTATAGCTAATAGGAAACATGCTGCAGTTGTATATAAACAACTTAGTAAAGTGCTTTATGTTGATAGATAATATACTCTGAAACAAGTCAAAACAATATTACAAAATATATTTATCTTGTTAAGAATTTAGTTCATCAGGCAGTGGCAGTAATTTACATGCAATAATAATTGCTGTAATAATAAGACAAAATAGGAACATTTGGAAAGTACTATTGAATCCATGATAGAGTAAGAAAAGGAGTGAATTTTTATTTCCTGAACAACTTATATATTTTAATCTCATGGAAACTACAAATATGTAACTGACCTTTATTTTTATAATGGAGGAAGCTCAGACTCACATTTCTCACCCATCTCTTGCAAATGAGAGGATATTTCAGCAAGAATTTTATGCAATCCCCTTACTTCTGACACCATTTTAACAAATATTTTCCCTTTGCCCTATTTTTCTTCATCTATTTTTCTAATATTGTAATGCCACGTTTCTTTCTAAGCTTCGTCAAATACTATTCAAACAAGGCAAAGTATGTATGTATATAAGTGTGAATAAAAGAATAAATACATTTTTGAGCACCTACTATGTCTATGTATCAACCAGTGATTAACACTTTATATAGTTTTATTTAATATAACAAACGAATATAAAATAAAATGTGATTAAATGACTATATATATATATATATATATACACACACATAGATAGATATATAGATATATTTTGAAAAGTATAAAATTAGTATTATACTAAGGTGTATCTTGGTATACATTTAAGAGTATATAATTAGGTATAAATACAAATATTATATATTTATTAGGAAATGCAAAGCTAGTATGTTTATTACATTCTTGTCATCAGCTATTTTTCCTATGATTGCTCCTTAAACTATAAAATAAGATTCCTATCCAACTGAGATATTTATTATAAATCAAGAAGTCTAAAACTGATAAGCTTTCTGAAAGCACTCTTTGTCGAGAAAACCTTGTCAAGATCCCCCAAGAATATATTAAAAATAGCTCCCTTCCCATACAGACCTGGAAGCACCCTGGTGACTAAGTCTATTTGTTCGTCTAAAACAAGCTAAGAACATTCCTCTTCATAGAAAGGCATTCCCCTCAGATTTACCTTTTCTGAAACAGAAGCAAAACCTTTGGTTGGGTGCTGTGTTCTCATGTCAAAAATATGAAACTTTCCTTCCAGAGACGTAGCAACTAACTTATTCATGCTTATATCTTTCCTGTCAAACTCCAGGCTACATACCTGAAAATACAGAATATTTATTATTGATGGTCTAATGAATATTATTCAATAGGTTATTTTAAGCTAAGTAAAACAACTTTAAAATTATTAGCTCATGTAAAAGCATTTAAACGGAATCAATACATTAAAAACCTTTTAAACTATAAAAAAAAAATTCTTCTTGGTTAATAAGGTCAAACTATCTTGAGTTCCCCAATTATTGTGCACAATTAAGTCAAGGCTGACTTTAGGAAACAGGAAGGAGCCACATTCCTCATGAGAGGCCTACAACTCAGGAACTTAAAATCTGAAAGGCTTCCTATTTGCAGAAAAAAGCCTCTTATGTGCTCATTTTGATATGACAATGCACAACGCACAGGTGTCCACAGTCTGCCACAGGGGCTGGCGACTCACCAGCACTGTCATACCATTTTATACTGAAGGGATATGTGAGAATAATATGTGTGTTCATTTTCCAGGAGAGGGTCCACGGTTTTCATCAGATTCCCAAAGGGCTCAGAGCCCCAAAAGGTTAAGAACCACTGGTAGAGTGGTTGTACTGAGATGAGTTATTAGAATCACCTTCCTTTGGTAGTAGTTCAGAGGTAGGTGAAAACATGCTCAGAGAAATTAAAAATAATCAAAATGGCCCTAGTTGGTCTGGCTCAGTGGATGGAGCATCGGCCTGCGGACTGAAGGGTCCTCGGTTCAATTCTGGTCAAGTGCTCATACCTTGGTTGCAGGTTCCCTGGCCCTGGTCAGGGTGCATGCAGGAGGCAATCAATCAATTTGTCTCTCTCACATCAGTATTTCTCCCTGTCTCTCCCTCTCCCTTCCACTCTCTTTAAAAATCAATGAAAAAATATCCTCAGGTGAGGAGTAACATAGATTAATAAATAAATTAATTAAATATAAAAGAATCCAAAAGTACATTACCCCATTCTTAATGTTTGTCTCCCACCGCAATGACATATTTCTGAGATCAAACAGTTTGATATCACCGTTGTCATAGCCAGCACAAACAACACGTTCCTCTTGATTATACGCATTACCTACAGATCAAGACAACATTCCAGATCTTTAAAATCCTAATCTGAAGACTGGTGAAATGATTCTTTGAACCGATGCATATAATTTGTACTGAATCAGATTTTACAAAATCTCATTGGGTAGAATCTCATGTTACCGATCTTGACAGGACATCAGATTATTAATTTGGTATTTGATATTGTTATTTTAAAGCTCATTTTATACTGAAGGGATATGTGAGAATATTATTGGCTTCTAAGACCATCTAAACACCTCTGATTGTGGGCTTGAGTCATCTTTAAAGCAATTTCTACCACTACAGTATTTCCCCTACATAGCAGGCCACTTTTCAAGCTATTCCTTACACTTGAAATTTCCTTCCAATTTTAGGGGTTCAAACTTTATATGTCCTTTTGGCAAAAATTGCCCCCTCACCCTGGTCATCTTTCCCTTGGGATTCCTTCCACATTTGTCCATGTCTCTCATGATCTTTTATCACTCCTACCTTGTACTATAATTTTTAAAATATATTTTTATTTATTTCAGAGAGAAAAGGAGAAGAGAGAGTGAGAGACAAACATCAATGAGAGAATTGTTGATCAGCTGCTTCCTGCACACCCCTACTGGGGATCAAGCCCACCCAGGCATGTGCCCTTGACCAGAATCGAATCTGGGACCCTTCAGTCCGCATACAACGCTCAATCCAGTGAGCCAAACCAGCTCGGGCTGCACTATAATTAATGTAGCTATCATGTCTTCTTTACCAAACTATAAGCATCTCGATGCAGATAGCACATCTGTTTACCCTTCATATGCCCGCCGCTTTGCGCCTCTTTAGCATCCATAAAAAATTGTCAAATCAATGGATTTTCTTTTTAAACTTAAGCACCTGTATTTAAAATTGTACCTATGGCCGAGACCGGTTTGGCTCAATGGATAGAGCGTCGGCTTGGGGACTGAAGGGTCCCGGGTTCGATTCCAGTCAAGGGCATGTACCTTGGTTGCGGGCATATCCCCAGTAGGGGGTGTGCAAGAGGCAGCTGATCGATGACTCTCTCTCATCGATGTTTCTAGCTCTCTATCTCTCTCCCTTCCTCACTGTACAAAATCAATAAAAATATATTAAAAAAAAAAATTGTACCTATGTTCCTTAGGTCAATGATGAAAGGCTTTAATGAGCCCAAAGGTAATTACTTTTTAATTATTATACCAAGTTTTAGATGATGATTCCAAATACTAACCTTGAAATTTCTCCCCAAGCATATGTCTTAAGTTTATATAATTGTTTATAAAATATACACACATAGTAATTCTCAAACAATAATTTGTTTTTTATAGTGTAAGTCTAAAACTTTCCTCTAATTAAATAACAGTGCAATTTTAAAATAACATAAAAAGTTGAACAAATCACGGGTATTGTTAAATCCTACTTTTAATGTCTGTTATCTACATAGGATTATGCTAAGAAAAGAGGGAAAGAAAATAGAGATTTAAAACTAAATATAGCCTATATACCTCTCACTAGCAAAAAATTATTTTAGTTTTGGTGCTCAGCAAGAGATACAAGGGTAAAACATCAATTAGTCCTACAAAACCAGCATTCATTTTAAATATATTAATAGAGAAACACAGCTGTCAAATTTATAAGAAGTAATTTTGTAATGGTATAACTACTTTCTAGAAACTAAACATACTATACAGAGAGTATAATGTAAGATCTGTAACGCTATCATTTGCCCTTGAGGCTCTACTTAGCTCCATTACTGGCATTTGGTTCTAACGGGTCAATATTATCTAGTTAAACACAAGTACCTAGTAACAACAAATTATTTTTGAGCACTTAATAATCTAAGCACAATTCTAAGCACTATAAATATATTAACATTTTGAATCCTCATAACAACACTACCAAGTAAATTCTACTATTACTTCCATTTACAAATGAAGCTACCAAGAAACAGAGATGCTTCATAACTTGCCAATAAGTCACACAGCCAATAAGTAGACCAGGAGACTTCAAACTCAGGCCTCAGAGGATGACATTAACCATCATGTCTATTCGCCTCAATAAACTGGCAGATTAACCCACAGGCTATGAACAGACCATCAGGAATTCCTTGAAGCTTTTACCATTGGATACTTCAAACCCAAGAGTTCCTCAATAACTCACCAAACGCCACAGTCCAACAGTCTCTCTTGTTTTCTCCTTGTACAGGTTCCATATTAGCAACAGGATCATCTTTCTGCCTTGGGTCCCACACCTTCACAGTTCCTGCCAGAAATAAAAGTACACTGGCAAAATTCAACAGCAAATAATGACATTTCTTTTTTGCATTCTCTTCCTATGGCTTCCTGTATACAGGGTAATATTATAGATGTATAACACCTGAAAAAATATTCACATTTTTCTAACTTCTAAGTGGGCAAGTTGTACTTAATATCAGAAATATAACCAATCTGTCTGACTTACTAATTTCCAAATAGATATACAGAAAAGCCAACAACTGTTCCTAAGTTATCAACACAGTATGACTGACAAGACAAACATAGATGTTATGCAATTCAATTCACACTTTATTTTCTTTGTGTAAGCCTAAAACTAATGTATTAGTTACTTAGAATAATACCAGTGCCATTTTAAATTATTTCCTTACTACCCATATAACTATTGACATTATTCTTTATACAGAAGAATAAACTAAATTTCTATCAATTTCTTAAAATAGTAGTTTTAGAATACTATTTCATATAAATAAGTTTAATTTCCCTGTGGCAATAGAGAACAGGGAAATATTAAATAAAATTAACAGGGCGGGAGTGGTCTGGAAGAAGTCAATGGGGGGAAAAGGGAGACATATGTAATACTTTCAATAATTAAGAATTTTTTTTAAAAAATTAACAAATAGCCGAAACCGGTTTGGCTCAATGGATAGAGGATTGGCTTGCGGACTGAAGGGTCCCAGGTTTGATTCCAGTCAAGGGCATGTACCTTGGTTGCGGGCACATCCCCAGTACGAAGTGTGCAGGAGGCAGCTGATAGATGTTTCCCTCTCATCGATGTTTCTAGCTTTCTATTCCTCTCTCTTCCTCTCTGTAAAAAAATCAATAATAAATATGTATTTTTTAAAAATAAAAATGATAAAATAAAATAAAAAATTAACAAATAATTCTCAATTTAATTTCAACTTCCTCATTGTAATGCAAATTATAGGACTGCTACATAAATGATGTCATTGCTTCTGAGAAATACAAAATGGCTAAAAGGCAAGTACCTAAGAGAGAATAGGAAAAGCATAAAAAGAAATCCTTAAAAGGAATAATAAATGTAGAAAAGGGGGTACTATTCAACTCAATTTATCTCCAAAAATAAAATAAAATTGGTTATTAAGAAGATGTGTTAAGGAGAAAAAAATTGCTGCAAATATGACAAGATGTATCACTCCCTTAGCTTCATACAAATTGATAAAATTTATATTAAGTTTGTAACAGTTATATGAACAAAGAACATAAAAAATTCACACAGCAAAATTAACTGGTAAATAAATACTGTATAGAAAGAAATTAACACAAGTTGAAAAGGTGTATCATTTTTATCTAAAAATTTAGGAAAATCAATGCTGATAGGGTACACTGGAAATCTATTTCTTCCATCGTGGCTGATAAGGTAAAGATATTTTGGAAAATTTGACAGTAAATTTTAAAAGCCACAACACATATTTATTCCAAAAAAGTTATATACATAATGATACTTATTTATTATTATTTTTTTAATATATTTTGATTTCTTACAGAGAGGAAGAGAGAGGGATAGAGAGTTAGAAACATCGATGAGAGAGAATCATCGATCAGCTCCCTCTTGCACACCTCCTACAGGAGATGTGCCTGCAACTAAGGTACATGCCCTGGACCGGAATCGAACCTGGGACCTTTCAGTCTGCAGACCGACGCTCTATCCACTGAGCCAAACCGGTTTCAGCTTATTTATTACTTTTAAGTCACTCTCCCAAAATAATAAACAAAAAATTTGAGGTAAACAAAAAACTGAATGCTTATTAACAGGGGCATGGTTAAACATTGTGACACCTCCAGAGGATGGAATGTGATGTAGTCATTAAAATGTAAGTATGCAAACAGCAACACTTACATATAACAAAACATTAAATGGAAAAAAGTAAGATACAAAAGCACACACACACACACACACACACACTGGTAGCTACTCATTGTTGTATATAAGACTGGAAAGCACACCTAATTGTTATGCTGGTGTGGTGCACTGAATGTTGTTTTTCCTTCTATGTTCTGAATTGTTTCTAGGGTTGGAAAGAACATTTGATTTCGAAAACAGAGCCACTCTTGAGTAACTTTCAGAAAATTCCCCCCTCTTTTCTTTTAAGGCTTGTCCACTTTTAGTCACTGCTGGCTGAGCGGCGTCCCCCGATGGGGAGGAAAAGCACTCGGTGTCCTTGGAGCTTTCTACAATGCTCAGCGGAAGGATCACAGGATTTCAGGGTTCAACGTGACAATTTTCACAAGTACTGATTCTGCTTTTTAAAAAAGGAAAAGCTGCCACCCACATTATATTGTCAGCTGCCTCAAAAACGGATAAAGAAATTTGAAATTCTTCAAGGATCATATGAAACTATGGTTGCTAGTAGTTGAATTTGTTCAAAACTAAAATAGGTTAAGTGCTTTTCCTCTATCTCAAAATCCTCAAGAATAAAACAATTTAGGGATATGCAATCAAACCTACCTATTAAAAAAGACTGTTAGATTTAAGTGGGTAAGGGTCCCTGTGGATTTCCACACAGAGAGGATATCCCGTTGAATAGAGATTTATCTTTAAAAAAATTAAAATACTGTACATAAAATACTTTGACTTACCATCTCGGCTGCCAGTCACAATTTCAGGTGCTCCTTCCCCAATCCCTAGTCCACCTACACCATCTATAGTATTTATAATTTCTTTATGGGCCTTTACGGAATACACTGGGTACTCTGGAGCTTCCAAATTCCTAAACAACAGAAGACAGCTTCTTACTTACACCACAAGTCCCAAACATTTAGTTCACTACTAAATTGTAAGGATGCATTCCATATTTAGATTTTTGTTTAAAAATAAGGATTTTACTATGAATTTATACAAATATTCCCAATTTCTTCCCTCCACTTTCGCATCTTTTAAGCCCTCAATGAGAATGGTCATTATTCAACTTGGAATTCAAACCCATGTCCACTTTACTTAATGTTCTTCATGGGTGAATTACCAGGTCTGCTTATTAATAAGTGCGGATTCACAGGCTCCTCCCCAGATATCCTATATAATAAAAGGCTAATATGCAAATTGTCTCCTGGACCAGGAGTTGGGGCCTGCTGGCCAACTGCCTGGGGCCCCTCCCCCTAGACAGCCCCACCTCCACCCCACCACAAATTCGTGCACTGGGCCTCTAGTCATTAATAAGAATCTCTGGGATGGGGTCCCAACCCTGTGGACTCTTTGCTGACTGAAGTTTGATAATTACTGCTTTAAATATAAAGTAAAAGGATTTAGAATGTTTCCAAAGTTGACCTTGGGAGTTTCATCTTGAGATCTTCTAAGGTTTATTTTATTATATGAATAGTGTATACTAGGTACACATTTTCTAATTTATCATGTATTATTTTCTCACTGAGTTTTGATTTTTCATCTAATTATGTATTTGTTAGTTTATCATCATGCTGGTCACAAATATGAATCAAACTGGCTGAAGTTTGTCTAATACTAGGTTATTTAAGAGAAAGAAATGCAGGAAAGTAACTACTATAATATTATGGGTGCTTGAGTCTACATGAGATGGTTGGATAAGGAATGGCTCAAGTAGGTTATGGCAATACATCCTTTTCTGGCTTGCTCCCCTTCTTTTGCTTTTCTATTGGAGCTTCTATTCACATTTCTCTTTAACAAGTCAGGTTTCATAACTTACACTTAAACAAAATGAACATAGCTTTTCATGATGTAATCCCAACTTATGAGCCAAAATGTGTAAAATTTCACTTAGCAAATTTGAGATAGCTCAACCTAGTTTAGACATGATGTTTATCTTTATAACGTTACTGTGAAAGAAACAGGAGACTAAACAGGATTGAAGTTCTATTTAAAAGACTATTCTTACAGATTTTTAAAAAACATTACTTTTTGAATATAAACAAAAGACTTATCAATGAAAATAAGTCAGTAGTACCTGTTCTACTCTATTAGGAAGAAAGTCAACAGTTACATTTGTTCTATATTCTTGTGCTGAAATATTTTATTTTTAAAAATAACATTCAGACTAGCCTCTCTCCCAATTTCTTTGAAAGTATATGACATAGCATGTGAGGACTAATGCATTATAATAAATGCTAACTTAATTATTAAGCAGTTAAAGCAAGGGTAAATTAAAATAGCTACATTATGTTGTATATTAGGAGCCTAAGAAAGATAAATAGGTCAAAGTAATTTAATTACAAAGTAGCAGATTCTCAGTGAGAAATCCAAAAAGATCACATTGGAAAACAAGCAAGGAATACGGTTTCTCTCTAGACCATTAGACTTCAGATGAATAAGAGATATTCTTAAAAAGTAATTAGAGAAATTTGAATTCACTCAATTCTAATTTAAATATAAGAAAATAACTCTAAAAAAAGGAGATATATGTACTACTATGTGTAATAGTTTAAACAATAAAATAAAGTTTTAAAAAAAGAAAAAATAACTCTTGATAAAACATGAAAATTAAAAGCATTGGACACAATTATGATTTTGCTCATTCAAAACAGGTTTATCTTGATTTGCTCAACAGATGTGTCCCTAAAAAGTTGTGCTTAGATGTTAGCTAACTCATTAAAAGAACTTCAAATGAACTGGGAGCTCTACATTAAAAAATTAAAAGCAAAAGCTCAGTGTATCACTCTGTAATGTCAAGTGTACTGCTGTAATGCATACAATATCTAATTTCCCCCATGTTACACAGTGTACTTTTATAGATTGCATCCTTCAAGGTGGAGAGGAATAACCCTTTATTTACAAATTCAAGTTATTAAATAGTAGCATCAAACAGCATATGTAGAAATACTGATAACATTACTTTAAATATCTAAAGCCTAAAGATAAAATTAGAATTCTCTTTCAGAGGAAGAGCAATAAGACTATCAAAGAAACTGTTATCTCAGGTCTTACTACTAATTAAATAATCTTACCATATATGAAGGTTTCCAGCAAAATCTCCAGTAGCTAAATATCTCTGCTGTAAGGATGTTGCACCAAATGTTCCACATTTAATGGGTTTGGCCTTTTCAATCTTGATAAAAGAGAGGGAGAGAAGATACAGTATTTATGTCAGCTATTTATAATCATGATATTTACAGCCATATTAAAGGGCTTATATAAGGTGGTAATATAAAAAGCAATTAAAACTTAGGATAAAGCAGAAACCAGTTTGGCTCAGTGGATAGAGTGTCGGCCTGCAGACTGAAAGGTCCCACGTTCAATTCCAGTCAAGGGCATGTACATTGGTTGCAGACACATCCCAGTAGGGGGTGTGCGGGAGGCAGATGGTCGATGTTTCTCTCTCATTGATGTTTCTAGCTCTCTATCCCTCTCCCTTCCTCTCTGTAAAAAAATCAATTCAATATATTTTAAAAAATTAAAAACTTATGATAAAAATGATCATGCTTTCCTTTAGTCATCCTATAAAATAAAAGGCTAATCTGCAAATCAACCGAACAGCAGAATGACTGGTCTCTATGATAAACACTGACTACGAGGGGGCAGATGCTCAATGCAGGCGCTGCCCCTTGGTGGTCAGTGCGCTTCCATAGGGGGAGTGCCGCTCAGCCAGAAGCTGGGCTCACCACTGGCGAGCACAGTGGCGATGGTAGGAGCCTCTCCTGACTCTTCGGCAGTGCTAAGGATGTCTGACTGCTGTGAACATCCCCTGAGGGCTCCCGGACTGCAAGAGGGCCGGGCTGAGGCCTCCCCTTACTCACCTCCCCAGTAAAGGAATTTCGTGCACTGGGCCTCTAGTTCTTCTATAATTTAAAAGTATATAACTGTAAAAAAGAATGAGTTTTAATTTTGCCTTTCCTTTCATCTCGCTAATGAGATGTTCAAATGCTGATAACTCTACCATCTCTACTGATTTGCAAATATGAACATCGCAGCATTTAATGTGGTATTCTTTTTTAAGATCCTCTGCAGAAATGAGAACATAATAAAGACATTGCTCTTTCCAGATGGCTACAGGAACAAAAATTTTTATGAGTATTTCATAGTTTTCCCTGCAGGACCCTCTAAACTGAGAATGTTTATGTCCTGTTCTCTGTGGTACCTTTTCAATCATAGAGATTTGTACACCTGTGTGCACCAAAGGTACCACTGTTAGTATGGATTAGCCAATCTTTTCATGTTCCTTTCATTTAAAAGGCTACTGCTCCGACTATTATATATAATCACATTAGTAAAATAACTATATACCAATGCACTACTTAAGGCATGCGGCTTATGGAAGTCACGTGAAGAAGAACATATCACAGAAAGGATCCTTGAAATTATCTAAAACTACCCCCTCCCCCATCATAGATAAAGATATTCCAAGTCTAGAGCTTTATAGATTTGCCCAACTCAAGCATTCAACATTTACTAGTAATGAGTTCCTACTATATGGAAGTCAAGGAACTAGGCAGAAGAAGACATAAAGATGAGTAAGACTGACCATTCCCTCAAGGAGTTTACAGCCCAAATACAGTAGTCCCCGTTATCCATGGGAAATAGATGTTTCAATACCCACAGTAAATGCTTGAAACAGAAGATAGTACAGACACTGTTTTTTCCTATACATACCTATGATTAAGTTTAATTTATAAATCAGGCCCAGTAAGAGATTAATAATAACTAAATAATCTAGAACAATTAACACTATATACTGTAATAAGAGTTATGTGAATGGCTCTGGGCATTAATAAAAATAAGGGTTATTTTTACACAGGTGCTGTGGTGCTGAAACCATCTATATGATAACCATGGCAGCTAAGTGACTAACAGGCAGAGAGCATATACATCATAGATACCAGTGTGGGACAGAGTAGGATGGCATGAGATTTCAACACACTACTCAGATTGTCATGCAATTTAAAACTTATGAATGTTTATTTATTGCCTTTTCCATTTAATATTTTCAGACCATGGGTAATAGAAACTGTGGAAAACAAAACCGTGAATGGAGCCAGGGGCGGGGGGGGGGGGGGGGATCGGGGGAGAGACTACAGGATCAGTTCCTACCTGACTCTTCCTGCATATACACATGCATTATGCTACTCTCACCTACTCCCACCTCTGTGGAATTTTCATTACTCATTTACTTCCTGATGTTTCTAATTTCTCCAAGGTCCCCACTGACCACAACTTCACCTCCCAGGTTACTGATAGTCCTCCTAAAGTCTGCTTTTCCTTCTGGTTCAGCCCCTGGAAACTCTGGACAATCTGTAATTAGATGAGGCCACTAGTTGATGGCTTTCCCACATTATATTATGGCCTTATACTATCATCTTCCATTTACTGTCAGCCTCACTAGGGCAAAACTATTCCTCATATTTGGTCTCAACAACTTTTATTCTTAATGTTTATATAATACAGTTGGACATCCCCCAAGGGGTCCCAGATTAGAGAGGGCACAGGCTGGACTGAGGGGACCACACCCCAACTCCACCCCCATGTACCAGGCCTCTAGTCTATATGTATAAAAGACTAATATGCAGTGTTCCCTTGGGAGTTTGACTGCTTGCTATGAAGTGCACTAACCACCAGAGGGCAGTGTGGACCATGGTGGGCAACCAGCGGTGGTGGTGGGTTGGTGGTGCTGAGGGAGTGAGGGAAAGAAGAGGTGGGGAGGTGGGGAACCGTATCCACTCTGATCACCAGCCAGGCCTAGAGACCCAACCCATGCATGAATTTCATGCACCGGGCCTCTAGTTAGTATATGATAGTGGAAATAACCATCCATGATGGTCGTGTTTAATCCAGATGTTGGTTCTCTTTGCTACACTAAGTTAACATGATTAAAGAAGCCCATGATAGATAATTCTAGTGAGAGCTATTTTTGTTCTGTCTGTGGGTGGGTCTAGTACAGCTTGTCAGTATTTCCTCCTCCACATCCTGGCACTACTTAATTAACATTAAAAGATTTAGCCAACCAAATGCTAACAAGCAGTGAATTCAGTGCCACAGGAGCTGAAAAGCAAAGCTGTATTAGCTCATTACTAAATTTTAAAGTGTAAACATCCCCAACTATATTGCCATTTCTCAGGACTACCCCCCAGTCCTTTGTGCCAATTAGAAAAAAGGTGCCTTTTACAGACAGATGAAGTCTCAGGGGTAAGGCTTGGTAAAAGAGGTAGATTTCAACTCTCGTCCTCTTGGCCAAACATCCATGGGTGATGCAACAAGCTGCTTAACTGTATACGGAGCCTTGCTGTCACTCCCGTCTATCTTTAGTAATAACATGAGGAAGGCACCAACAAAGATCCACTTCCTTCCTTTTTGTCTTGGATGCACAAGGTTTGACATGTGGTGGTCCCACAATGATAAAATCAAGTCTGTATCCTCATAGTATAATAAAATAATTCATCTAGCCCCACTAAAGTCAATCCTGGTACTCATTAGAATCATCTGGTGAAAGGTGAAAAAATACTGATGTCCAGCCCTTGCCCTAGTCTAAAAGCAAGAGTCCCAGTGCATCAGAACCTGTAAGGGTGGGACCAAGGCAGGAATTCCTTAAAACATGCACACAAACAGCAACAATACACGCTAAGAATTGAGAATCACTGAACTTGTACTTAATCTATATTCTTTCACATTGCATCATCACAGCCAAATACAAGGTAAATTCTTAAATGTTTTCCCATTTGTTTTATCCTCTTTAGACAGCAGGCTCTTTAGGAGAAAGAACTCATCAATCAAATAGTTCTGGTCCTTCTTCAAAATATTCCTTAGATACAGGTGAAATAGAAGACACCATCCTTACTCTCCAGGAGCTTACAATCTAGAGATAAATGGAACAGAATGATATATTGCAGGCACAGATAGTAAAGACCACAGGAATGCAATGTATGAAAGGTTACTTTGTGTGGGGATCAGGAAGGGACTTCAGAAATCAAATAATCTGAACTGGACTTAGAACAGCAACAAGTGACTGGGGGCAAGTGGTGAACAACTTAAGGAAATGGAGAAAAGAACAAGCCACATGTACTGAGCCCCTGATTAGAGAAGGCAAACTGAACTAGAAAACTGACACTCATAGAAATTTAAAGTGGGAGGGGGCCCAGCCTACTACCTTCTAATCTAGGCTTCCTATCAAAACTATATTCTTCCTTTACTTAGTACCAGTTTAACCTCCGCCTCCTCCAAGCAGATTCTCTCTACAGCTTTTGATCCCCAGAGTTGTCAACCTTCCCTGTAGTCTATTACAACCCTAAACACCTGGGCACGATCATTTTTTTCCAGGTAACACAAATCAAGGCACTTTTTAAACTGTAAACAGGTATGAAAAATGTCAGTTAACGTGATTCTTAACTTCTATTGAGCTTTTCAAAACTTGCAAACGTGCCGAAGCCGGTTTGGCTCAGTGGTAGAGCGTGGGTCTGCAGACTGAAAGGTCCCAGGTTCAATTCCGGTCAAGAGCACGTACCTTGGTTGCCGGCACATCCCGGGTAGGGGGTGTGCAAGAGGCAGCTGGTCGATGTTTCTCTCTCATCGACGTTTCTAGCTTTCTCTCTCTCTCCCTTCCTCTCTGTAAAAAAATCAATTAAATATATATATTTTTAAAATTTAGGGGGAAAAAACCTTGCAAATGTGATCATGCCACACACTGCTTAAAGCCCTTCAGTGATGTCCTTATTCTTAGGGGCAGAAAGGCATACATTTTAAATGATGTATAGGTGTTGCAACGTTTGGTCCCTGCTTACCACTCCTGTTTCTTAAGAAGAGACTTTGTCCCATCGCAGAGGTTCCGCCCAGGCCGTGTCCTATGGAAACCTCGTCCTTTCCTCTTAGTTTGGCCTCGTTAGGTTCGACTATTGATTTCAGCGAGGAAGAAAGGCGCTTGTTTTTATTCTCGTAGAACCGTGTTCTTTCATGTTTGCGAATTCATCTTGGTTGTACTTATGCATTGTTGGTTTGATTATTTTTAACTGATTCTTTCTCCCACAGGAAAACTCCCTGAGATCGGAGACACTGTCATTCACACGCCTGGGAACACCACCAGGCAATCAACCGATACTTGTGGAAAGAATAAATGTTAAGTTTTAGGGGATCTCCTGCAATCTCCAGCTTTGGCTCTGTCCGCATGAAAAAGCATCTTACTAACAAGACCCTCTATTCCCCAGACTCTCCACGAGTTGCGCCCCGCCCCGAAGGGCCTCGCTTTCAGACCCGGATTCGCCCCGGTCACTTCCAGAGACGTCGCGCTGGACCACAAGGGCCGCTGGAGGAGGGGCCGGAGGGCGCGGATGGACTCGCCCGCCCAGGTGAACGCTGAGCTCCGGCAAAAGCACGCACGTCGGAAGTACCGTATATGCTCCACCTGCGATCAACTCCACTCCGCCCGCGAGGCTCCGAGCGGTGCTTTTGCGGGACCCTGGACGGAGGCGGTGGCGTAATGCAGACCCCACACTCCGAATCCGCACTCGCCCCCCCAACGAATTAGCTTAACACTTAATTCGGTACTCCCCCCGGATCCTGGACGAGGGCAAGTCTCGGCCGGCACCCACCTCCCGGAGCAGCTTGAGGTCCCCGTGCTGGATCTCGTACAGCTGAATGACGCCGGTGCCCCGGGCGAAGTTGCCCATGGTCACAAACTTGGCGCTGCAGGGCATCCACTTACAGTCGAATACCGTGTAGTTGAGGCCCTTCTGGATGTGGGCAATGATCTGAGGCTTCTCGAAGGCCGACATGGTCCAGCCGACTTCTCCTCCGCCAACGGGTACGTTCAGCCCCTTGCCAAACCCCTCACCTGGAAACCAGACCCCAAACAGGACAGTTCTGGTCCCTTCCGCTCGCCGTACACGCCCCCCTGACACCCTAGCCAGTTGGACGTAGCTGTCTCAGATAATGCCAGATGCATTACTGAAATCCCACGAGCTTTTTCTTCACCGGTGGCACCAACTTAGGCATCGCCTTTACCTACTTCCTTTAGCATATACACAGATTCCAGGTCATAAGATGCTTTAGCGTTGAGTGTCAGGGCCAGAGAGAGATCATAAGCATACGGCATATTTTAGGACAGCCCTTCCCTCTCCAAGCAAACGCACACAAAAATCCTGCCTCAGGTCCCCGGCGTGGGGCCCTCTCAGAAAAGGGGGCGGAGCCCTGCGGCTGGTTGGCCAGCACGTGGTGCGCCTGCGCAGTGCAGCGGCGCACGTGTTCCATCCGGAAGCGCCCGCGGGGGCTGGAGATTCCTGAGGATGGCCGCCGAAATGGAGGCACAGAGCGCTGGGGCCGAGGACGGTTTCACTCAGGTCACCCGCAAGGGTGGCCGGAGAGCGAAGAAAAGGCAGGCGGAGGAGCTGTCCGCGGCCGGGGAGGGCGGGGACGCGAGCCGCATGGACACCGAGGAGGCCCGGCCGGCGAAGAGGCCGGTGTTCCCGCCCCTGTCCGGGGACGGGTTTCTGGTACTGGCGGGACCCGGGGCGGGAGTTGGGTTAGGGACCAGGGGAGGCCAAGTCGGTGGTGATGGTGAAGCTGCATGGGCTCTTCTGAAGCTGAAGTGACTCCGCTGACGTTTAATTCGTTAAGAGAAAGAAAGCTTTTGTCGTGTGGATCAGTTGTCAATGTTACAGCTCCACCCCGCTTACTTCAGACATCTGAATTGTGTGTTCTTTTATTGCAGGATGGGAAAGAAGAAACAAGGAAAATTCCAGTCCCGGCTAACAGATACACACCATTAAAAGAGAACTGGATGAAGATATTTACTCCTATTGTAGAACATTTGGGACTTCAGATACGCTTTAACTTGAAATCGAGGAATGTAGAAATCAGGGTATGGAGAGTGCCAATCGTTTCCAAATATACAGGGGTGAACATGCGTGAATAGACTTTCCTCAGTGAGAGTCATTTTGTTAAATGATTTTCTCTGTTTTCTAATTTAGTGAGTTTGCATTTAACACATATATTAGTTGAGTTCATAAATTGAGCCTGAGATCATACCAAAATAGTGGTTATGCTGCGCATATTTTTAAACAATATACTTTATTGATTTTTTACAGAGAGGAAGGGAGAGGGAGAGTTAGAAACATCTATCAGTTGCTCCTACCGTGGATGTGCATGCAACCATGCCCCTGACCTGAATCCAACCTGGGACCTTTTAGTCCACAAGCTGCCCCTCTGTCCGCTGAGCCAAACCGGTCAGGGCTGCTGTGCATATTTTTAATAATGTTCTGTGTTGGACTGAGAAAAGGCCAATTAAAGAGGTTGTCATAAACAGAAGTTTGTAAATAATGAGTTCGAAGTACTTGCTGCACTATATATTTTATTGGTATTTGGGGAAAATGCATTTTAGGAATAAGTATAAATTATATACACATATATGTGTGTGTATTTATGTGCTATGTATGTATGTATTTTATATATATTATGTATATATCATATATATATATATATATATATAGTACACACGTGTATTTTTTTTCCCCCTAAGGTGCCAGCCCCATGGTTCAACAATCAAAATTAATTGACTTTGAGCTTCTTTTTCTGAGTGTCAACTTTGTATCAGAATCAAAGACCAAAGTTAATTATAATCTGTCTTAAGGGTGTGGGGAAACAGGGTCAAAGGAGTATCTTGGCCAAAGTCATCAAGCTGATATGTGAATTTTAATACTAGTAGGGACCTCTTGGCATCTTCTACCCTGACCCCCTTTTAGAGTATATATGGGGCTTGTTCAAGATCATGTATAGGATTGGGATAGGATCCAGTTTTAAAACTGGACTCATACAGGGTCTAGTTTTATACAACCCTGTATGGTTTCAAATTTGTCAAGTATGTGGTCTCAGTTAGATTGTGAGCTTATGTCAGAGAGCGGAAGTAACAGTTTGGAATCAAACCTATGTCCAAATCTTACCTTTTTCACCTTTTAGTACTTTAGTTGCCTGGAGCATAAGTCTTTATATCACTTAATATTTAGGGTTGTCATGAAGCTTAGAGCTATAGTACAGAAAGCACCTTTATAATGCTTGTCATTTGCAGTGGTAGGCATTTTATGAATACCTGTTTCTGTGATTATGGAATGAACTCTTTGAGCTCGGGATCCCTGCTTAAACCACTCTCGGTAGTTCATACTGGAGTTGTTGCTGTGGAAACATTAGTGCATACATGATTGAAGTTGGGAGATTAGATCACAGCTTGCAGGGAAGACTGTATTGAAAGATAAGACAATTGGCTTGGGCCTTGATGCATTGGGGGGCTGGTGTGAGGACACTTCAGTGTGTGTATTCCGGCTGTGCCAGAGGGATCTTGCCGTTAAACTCAAGTCAGATTTGGATGGAGTACCATCATTTGACAGCATTTTGGTGGAACTGTCTACCCCTGGAGTTGGGAAAGTTTTATTTTGCAAGTTAAACAGTGCTTACCTCAGCAAAAAACTGGGTCATGGAGAATACACTGGGGGAAGGGTGGTGATAAAGGAAATGACAATAAAGGGAAAGATCATTCCTAGTATTCTGTTAGATATTATCTTTTTCATCACCACCTGTAATGTGTGCCTCTTTTAACACAGACTTGTAAAGAAACTAAGGATGTTAGTGCTCTGACAAAAGCCGCCGATTTTGTGAAAGCCTTTATTCTCGGATTTCAGGTAGAGGTGAGTGATTTCATGACATCTGAAATAGGGGCTTGAAAAATATTCAAAATGAATGTTTCAATGAATTGGGGCATTTATTTATTTATTTATTGATTGATTTATTGATTTTATTGATTTTTTTACAGAGAGGAAGGGAGAGAGAGAGATAGAGAGCTAGAAACATCGATGAGAAAGAAACATCGACCAGCTGCCTCTTGCACACCCCCTACAGGGGATGTGCCCACAACCAATGTACATGCCCTTGACTGGAATTGAACTTGGGACCTTTCAGTCCGCAGACCGACGCTCTACCACTGAGCCAAACCGGCTTCGGCTGGGGCTTTTTTTTTTTTCTTTTTTTTGTGAGTTTTTTTTTTAAATATGAATTTTCTAGTTCCACAATTTGTGGATTTTAGCTTAACACTCTCAGGGATTTACACGGAAGGGCTTCACCATATTCCTTTTTACATTGTAGGATGCACTTGCTCTCATTAGGTTGGATGACCTCTTCTTAGAGTCTTTTGAAATTACAGATGGTGAGTGTATGGCGGTCTTTTATAATGAAATGCTGTCCTTTTGTATATTGTGTTTCTCACCTTTCCTAAAGCATCCGTTGATTATTAGCAGCTTTTTAAAAACTGCATATTTTGTGTCTGTTAGGAGGGAAATTGCATTAAAGATTGCCCATTACATAGAAGAGGGTGGTGTACTGGAATGGCTTGCCTCTTAAAGTCTTGCTTTTCTCATTTAGTGAAACCTCTAAAGGGAGACCACCTGTCAAGGGCAATAGGAAGAATCGCTGGCAAAGGAGGAAAAACCAAATTCACCATAGAGAATGTGACACGGACTCGGATAGTTCTAGCTGATGTGTAAGTATGTGATCTTGAGAAAATTGTTGTAATTTACATTTGATCTTTTGCTTGGTCATAAAGATAAAATGACCTCTCAAAGGTCATAAAAGTTGTATTTTTTGCACAGGGTTGCCACTGAATCTTTGTCAGCATATGGTTCTGGATGAATAGTTACCTACTTTGAAAGCAGATTAAGTTAGGAAAATCTTAGAAATTTATAGCATTTTTTTCTCAATTAGCATGAAGGTAATGTTTGGAGCCTTAAAAAGAATTACAGGACAGGTGAAAATGTAAATAGTTTCTTAGGGGAATCTATTAAGTCAGTAGGGGAGAATGGATGTTTTAAATGCTATTGTGAGATTTTCCTTTAAAATACGTATATAAAGGCCTTTCCTAAAAGGAAGATGAGTAGTGCACATTGGACAGAAACAAGAGAACGGTAATATGGGAACATAAATAAGATGAGAACGGCTTAACGTAAGGGTGCAGGAAATCAGGCTGGGATTACCCCTCCGTGAGATTGAAGGTGCTCTGTTGCCAGGTTGGGATTATTAGCAGATGGCTCAGAGATTAAATAATGCACAAAGTTGGGAGACGAAGGAAGCAGTTGCCTGCTACTGAATCCAAAGTAATTTTATTGAAATCGTTTCATCTTTGCTCTAAACTGAGCGGCTCAACTATTTCTTTACTTAAAGAATAACTATAGTAAAACTTTGGTGGCCCTCTTTACCTAAGGACAGGTGTATTATAATTTTGATCTTTTATGTATTGAGTCTAGAATTGGGAGTAGGGAGCTAGGGGAAAAGATTTTTTGAACTAGAAATTTCAAAAATTGTGAAGTATATACCATATATTAAAATACAACCCTAGCCAAAACCGGTTTGGCTCTGCGGTAGAGCGTCGGTCTGCGGACTGTAAGGTCCCAGGTTCGTTCCGGTCAAGGGCATGTACATTGGTTGTGAGCACATCCCCAGTAGGGGGTGTGCAAGAGGCAGCTGATCGATGTTTCTCTCTCATCGACGTTTCTAGCTCTATCCCTCTCCCTTCCTCTCTGTAAGAAAAATCAATAAAATATATATTAAAAAAAAAAAAATACAGCCCTAAAATCTTGTTAATTTAGAAATCTAAAAATGAACTGGTTTGCTAATCATCTTGTATTTATAAGGGTTAACTTAAAAAATGTACTCCTTTAAATAATGTAACAGCTTTATTGTGGTATGATTTATGTACAATAACATTCATCTGTTTTAAGTATACAGTTCAGTGAGTTTGGGCAGAGGTACTAGTCCTGTAATCCCATCTCATTCCCACAGTTCCCTCACCCCAAAAGTTCTTCGTGTACCTTTGCAGCACCATACCCAGGCACTTACTGATCTACTTTGTGTCACTGTGGTTTTGCCTTTTCTAGAAATTCACAGTCTGTAGTTTTTGGTATGTGGCTTCATTTGGTTAGCATGTTGTTGTGAGTCTCTCCATTTTGTTGGATGTATCAGTAATCCCTTATTATTGCCAAGTACCAATCCAGTGTATGGATATGTTGCATTTTGTTTATCCACCCACAGATGATGGACATTGGGACTTTCAATTTGATACTATTATGAATAATGTTGCTATTTAATTGCTTTTTAGATCTGTGTGTATGTGTGTGTGTGTGTGTGTGTGTGAGTGTGTGTGTGTGTGTGTGTGTGTGTGTGTAAATTGAATTACTACTAAAAATTAAAGAAATGCATTATCTGGTAGTTTTTGCTACAAATAGGCTAATAGGAAATCCACAAGTTGAACAGTTTATCATAATTTATTATGATCTTGCCATAAAGTGGACTGTTGTGTACTTCTAAATGTTATTTTGGATGAGTTGCTAACCTGGTAAAATACATTACAATGTGAGCAAGATATCAAACTAAAAACTACTTGCTCCATATAATGCAGATATATCAGATAGGAAGTCATGTTGCTTGTATGTCCAGAGATCTCCATTCCATTCCAACTACTGCCCCATTACTTTGTTTTAGTAGGAAAACTACTGAAGCTTTATATATTCTTGCTGTCTCTGTGTTCTCATCTTTCATGCTTTATTTTAAAGAATTTTATTTTTGTCAGTTAGACATATACATATTTTACAAAGCCAAAAATTTCTCCTACCTACCTCCATTTTCTCCTTTTTAGAGGAGTCAATTTCAACTCTTAGTGAATTTTTAAAAATTATTTATCTCTGTATTTCCAAATATCTTATTTATATGCCAGCTTCTTGATTTTTTCCCGATTCATTGTTGACTACTATAAATAATAAGGATTTAGCTTTCTTTCACCCCTTCCCTCCACTCACACACTCAACCTTCCTTACAATCCAGTTTACTATTCTTCCCCATCCTGTCTATGCATTGTGGGTTTAGTTAGACCAGTGTTCAGTATTTCCTGCTGACAGGCTTTGGCGTCCGTTATGAAGACAGTGTGCAAATGTTTGCCTGACATTTCGTGTTTATAACATGATACTTCTTCAGCTGAGCCTGGTACCCATGTTTTTTACTTTCTCCAATAAATAACTTTCCTCTCCCCCCAGTAATTTTGTCAGTTACAGAAGGGTGGTTGCCTGTTTGCATGGAATGGGGAAGAAAACCTGGGGATCATCCTGAATAGACTTTTAACTGATTTCTTGTTTGTATTATAGCTTCACTCTTATCCCAATTTTAGAAATACCTGAGCTTATGGTGGGAGAGGATTCTGCCTGATGTTCTCAATGCTGATTTTGGATGGTTTACTGACACTTTGGAAGATGAGTTGAAAAGGCAGAATCTCTCTTTGGATCTTTAAGTCCTTCAGCAAGGAACTCCCATTAAAATTGTCTGGGTGATCCTCAGTGAGCACTGAAGAGATTTAGATAATCTTAGAAAGCTATATGGTTGAAATGCAAAGATATTTTAATTAAGCACAGTATTCCTTGCATTTCTGGGTAATCAATAATCCCGGCTCTGACAGTGTGTAATCTTGGGCAGGTTTCTTGTAAACCTTTTCATCAGTTGTAAATCGATAATAGCATCTACCTAATGATTCTCCTGTGAGGATTAAAAGAGAACAAGTGTATGAAGCTTTAACACACAGAAAGCACTTACTAGTTCTTGGATGGTGGTCATTATTTACCCAAAATCTAATGTCATAGTTTTGTTTTTATGTTTAGTTTCTTATTTTCTAATATTTTATATATAGGGACATAATTCACATGCCATAAAATTCCCCCTTTCAAATTGGGTTCTTAGCATGTTTGCAGAGTTGTGCAGCCACCATCACAGCCTTTACTTAGAAATCTGTATGATTTTTCAGTTTCTGGATAATAAGGCTTAGTTAAGGAAATGTGTTTTGTTGCTAACTGGTCTCACTTTTTCTTGCAGGAAAGTTCATATCCTTGGCTCTTTCCAAAACATCAAGATGGCAAGAACTGCCATCTGCAACCTCATCCTGGGTAATAGTTTATTTCTTTGTATTTTCCCTGAAAAGAAAATAATAGAGGATCTAGAATAAACCAGATTTGCACATCTGTTTAGAGAAATGTTCAAGATAGCAAATAGATACTCTTGGGGGCAGGCAAATGAGAACCTAAGAAAGTAGGAATCTTTTTGCTTGGATTCAATGTCTGCTAGAGAGAAAGGATTTATTGACTTATATCGCTTAAATCTTCACTGCTTTTCCCTGATGAATGATGTGCACAGAAAAGCCATTTCAGAGCATCAGGCAATGACACCATAGGTTAGCTTCAACAAAAGGAGCTGCTGATCAGCACCAATCAACTTAATCCACTTGGTCTCATTTCGCACAGGGCAGTAGAATCAGTAACTCGGACAGGAGTTACAGGGAGTGTAGAAATTTACTCAGAAAACACTGGAGATTCTCCGTTGGTGCCTAGGTCTAACTAACGAGCTTCCTTCCTAAATATTTTGGCTCTTAGGATTTAAAATGGGTTTTGGAGAATATTTGGGTATGGTTTCCTTTTTAGGCCTTTTGTTAAAGATAGATCCAGTGGAAAAGGTTCCTTTTAGAGTTTCGTAGACCATTTCCAATGTAGCTTCTATATATGTGAGTATAATTTTACAGATAAATAAGCTTTTTTGTTTCCTACAGGAAATCCTCCATCAAAGGTTTATGGCAATATTCGAGCTGTGGCTAACAGAGCAGCAGATCGATTCTGATTTCAAATCAGAGACTTTTTCTTATCTTTGGACTGTAGAGAAGAAGAACTAACAAGAGGTTCCAAGAAACCATGTGAAGAATTTCGGTAACTTCAAACCTCAGTCTCTGTTCTTCAGTTCTTAGCCAGAAGCATAAACCCGAAAGAAAAAATTTGATAGTATTCATTGAACAGCTTTGAGGATAACTTAAGCATCAGAATTTCATACCATTATTATACTTAAACTTTAATTATAATTTATCTTATTTTGTTTTAAATTACATGCATAATTTCTAGTTCCCTTATTTGGAGGGAATATTCTTATTTTTCTGTTTGAATTTGTTTTTAAATTAGAGATTTATAAACATTTCTTCCCTATGAGCTGTAAGAACTATTCCCAGAAAACCTCTGAATCATGTCCCTCAATATTGGTGACGTATCTATTTTAGAATCAGGTTGTAAAAGCAGCCGTTTGGCCATGCTGTGTGAACCAAAAGACTAATCTACCTGTTTTGCCACTTGTAAAATTAAATTTTTTTTTATCACAATACAAGTTTGACATGTTATTTTTCACATAAGTTGGGTTTATTTCTTCTAAGTAATAAAATATGGTAAAATGTTTTTACTCCTCTAAGAAAATGTGTTCTACAAGTGTAATAGTTGTTTTAACTAGTGTCTGCCTAATTAAATATTATGATTCAGCTTATGCATTTTTAAACCAACTCTAAAGTTCATGTAAGAACAAGCAAAGTATTCAGCTTCTGTTTCATTTATATCAGTTACATGTGCCACTGTTACAATGTAGTCTGTACATTGTATGGGATTGGATATACTTACATATTTTAGTGAGAATCCATTGAGGAATTGCTGGAAAATTTTCCCACCCCAAATAATTTTTTATCCTTTGGCATGAAAAGTATGTACGATGGAAGCAAATCTCTTCATTCGTGAACTTGGGACACTGAACTTTGATTTAGCACCTAGAGTTCTGGGTACCTCCGAAGGAGCAGTACTACTTGGGGTTGAAAGGAAGATAAAATGTAGAGGAAACTCAATTCTTGTAATGGGAATAAAGAAGGAATTAGATAAATCTGTTTATCACAGTGATAGTTGATCTTATCACTAAATCACCTCAAACATTAGCCATGGTATCTGTTTCTATGCCATTTGTCATGCTATACTGTAATTATAGTGTCTACCTCTCATCCTACTTAGTATCTCGCACAATTTCTAACAATTTACATTTTAGCTGGAGAATGGACAAGAGTATCATAGTGTCTGGTAAGGGAGGAGGCCTAGGTGTTTCTCCTCCTAGTCATTCCAAAAGATTTGGGTTCCAATACTCATGCTGCCTAGAATTAGGATGATAGAGAAGAAAGCTCATGTTCACCCAAGAATCTGGGAAAGAAGCCTTTCCTGATCTCAGCCATATTGAGATTGGGCCAGCATGCTTAATGTTAGATTACTTAAAGTATACAGTGACAATGTACAGAGCCATCCTAGAACTTGTAAAATGCTCCTGTGGAAATGTTAATTACTTATCTCGTCAAATACATGAAGTAAATCCGTAGGAGTTTTGAGAACAAGGAATTGCTCATTTGATCTGATTAGTTGATAGATTTATAATGCCCAAGGAAAGTGAAAGGTTGAAGTGGCAAAGGACTTTAAAAGTTATGTAATGCAGAGAGCTTTTTGAGTTTGTGAGAATTTTTGAAGATAGGATTAATGTTTTAGTAAACACATAAAAGTTTACCATTTTAACCATTTTTAAGTATACATTGTACAATCACCACCATCACCCATCTCCAAAAGTTTACTTTCCTAACTGAAACTGTACCCATGAAACACTAATAATTCACTTTCTCCTCCTCCCTCTCTGAATTTGAGAACTCTGGGAACTCATATAAGTAGAATCCACACAGTATTTGTTTTTTTTGTAAGACCAGTGACAACCTGAGGTTGACCAACCAGAAGTCAGTGCTGGCCCCGCCCCCAAGCAAGTGATAAAGGGAGCAATCAGGCAGGCAAGCAGAGGTGTTAGGGGTAATCAGATAGTCAGAGCAGTGGTTAGGGGTGATCAGGTAGGCAGGCAAGTGGTTAGGGGAGATCAGTATGCAAGATGGCCCCTCCCCGGGCTGGCCCTGCCCCCAAGCAAGCAGTTAGGGGCAATCAGACAGGCAGGCAGAGTGGTTAAGGGTGAACAGGTAGGCAGATAGCCTCTTGGGCTGGTGCTAACCTCCAGCAAAGAAAGGGGGGGAGGCACTGGCCAACCAAGCCATTGCACCCCAGTCTCTCCTGCAGAGGGAGGCCACTGGTGGCAGGGGAGGGGGAACAGTGCTGCACGGACAGCAAGCTGTGGCATCAGTGTTGGTGGGGCCAGCTCCCTGTAGCCTGGGGAAGGAAAGCCAAGCCTAGGGACATTATGTGAGGGGTCCTGAATTCTGAGGGTGCAGGCTTGGCTGAGGGACCTCCCCCCTTCCAAGTGCACGAATTGTCATATACCGGGCCTCTAATCCTATATAATCAAGAGCTAACATGCTAATTAGACTAAACAGCATAACTGTGATCTAGACGAAGCTGGGGTTGAGAAGTCTGGCCAAGGCAGCCCGGGCTGCAAGAACCAAGCCCCGTGCACAAATGTTATGCATCAGGCCTCTAGTTTTGTGTGTCTTCAAGGTGCTCCCTGTTGTAGCATATATCAGTTACCTTCCCTTTAAATATTCCATTGTATGTATACCACCTGTCGGGTGCATTTGGATTGCTTGTACCTTTTAGCTATTATAAATGATGCTGGTATGAGCTTATTTGTGAGTATACAAATAAACACCCGTGCAGGAGGCTAAAAAACAGTAGTTAGCAAACCCTTGCTGTGCAAAGACTACGGCACACCCATTAGAGTCCCTGCTTTTAACTTCAGGGTGTATGTATACCTTGAAGCGATAAAGCAGATTTGTTTTTACCTCTGGATTACATCAATTTACCAGTTTTTTTAAAACCCAAAAGAATGAAAATGAGACTAATGGCTCTGGAAGCCCACCAAAGACCAGTGTGAATACACTCAGGTTCCAAATATTTTATTTTTTTATTCATACAGTATGAAGTTTTCTAAAGATCCCACAACATGATGTTTCATGCAGAAGAAAAACTAAACATTCAACATAAACCACCCTCCCCCCACCCACACACACTAAAAAAAAAAAAAAAAAAAAAAAAAAAGAAAGAAAAGAAAAAACCCTCATTCCCCAGTAAGGAAATAATGTTTGCACTATTTTTCTGTAACGCCAGCCAAGATATGCACAAGCAAGAGAAATAGAAAGCATTTGCTAAAATATTTGTAACAAATACTTATGTACAAAAAATTCACAAAAGACTAGTTCCCCCTTGAAGCAGAGCACATGGCAGTTGACACTGGAACAGATCAAACCACTGGCTGGGATTATAAACCACGTACTGATCCAGAGGAAGAAAGTTACATGTAGTGGAGATTTTCAGTTTGAACATTAACATTTCCAAAGTTTGGCAACATTATCTTTTAAAATTATGCAAATTATGTAAACAAGAGGTACATTTTAAATCGATCTACATGCAGAACTCCATGTCATGCAAGGACACCAAGCACCGAGATTTTTCTCTCACAGACAGAGCCCATGATGTGCAGCACTCAGTTGAAGGAACAGCAATAGCAGGCAGGTACACCCAATTTAAGATTCGTTCACCTTGACTCAACCTGCCCTTTCCCCCTCATGACTATATAACCAGTTTTATTGAAAATCTGTATCAGGAAAGACTACTGTCCTAGAAAGCTAACCATAACATTTTCTTCCAGCCAACAGTACCTTTGCAGAAAAGGGAAGGGACAATAACGTGGTGGAACATGATACACTACTTTTATATCACACAAATTTATTAAGTTATTCATTACAAATATGAGCAAATCAAGGAAGAATATTTTCATGCACTCTTGATGCCTTATGGTAAGGAAATTTAAGAAGTATAAATTTGGATAAAAATTTTCTGTGGCATACACATGAGTAAGATTTCTCCCATTTAAGTCACAAATATATGTTGGGTGTTTAGATACATACATGCAATTTAAATATCACCCAAGTTTCAAATTAGCTGCAAGTCTTTTGAAACACAGTGGGGAAGTTAGTAGTTAAAACTCAGGTTTAATTACAAGTTATTTACCCACGTAATAAAATGGATATGCAAGTACTCTTCATTAAGTAATGTCAAAGATAAATTATGATTGCCTCACATAGCTTCTGGCCTTTATGTGTGAAATCACAACTGAAACTTACATGTACTCAGGGACATTTAATAAAAGTAATGGCTCCCAGTTATGAAGTAACAGAATGATATAGCTATAAGCTTTGTGCAGGCACTATATGAACACAAGAACAAGCTCTTGGCAGTAGCACTGACTATACTTTCTCCTCAAGCAAAGATGTAATAAAAGCTGCTCAGCAATGAGACATAGTCCCTGGAAATATATTCATAGGTATAAATAAAAGTTACAAACTCCTTTGTTTACAAAAATGTACTTAAGGTAAAAGGACGTTAACAAATGCTTTGTCAATCTCTCAAAGGAGAAAGCACAAGAAAGAAAGTAGCTGGCCTAACACCCGGCTCAAATTGTACAATCTTCTACCTATATAAAAAATTGTGTGAAATAAAAGTAAGGATGTTTTATGTTCTGCTTGGCACTTTTGTACTCTATCATTTTGTTTCTGAATCAAGTATATTAAATTAAAGCCAACCTACTACACATATAGAAAGCTACATATATCTATATATAAATATTTACATATGTATATATAGATACTTTCTTGTTATAAAAGATGAAGAAAAATAAATTAAAAAGCCAACCCCTTCCCTTTCTTCACCACATTGATATGCTCTTTTCATGTTGCTGTCCTTCAGACTTTAAAGTGCTACACGGAGTTATTGAGAGAATAAGAGTTCAATAACACTTAGTTGGCTTCATGAGGCTCATGTTGGAAAATGTGGCTTCACAGAGAAAAATACTTCCATTTAAATACACAGAGAGCATTGCTGGACGTCTTGAGCAGATCTTCAGAGATGGAGAAGAAAGCAAAAGTGTTGGGTGGTACTCTTTAAAAAAGAGTCACACATCTACCACCATCTTTTTGTGGATATCTAGGCCACCTACAACCTGCAATAGAAGAAATCAAGCTGAGCCATGTTGGAGAAATTCCTTTTTCTAGTCTAAGCACTTTATTAAAACTGTAATATAAAAACATACTATTTTAAACATTTCAGAAGCTGTGTTCTTTTGTTAAAGTTACATTGCCTCTAGTTAGAATTGTCATGGCTTCTTTCTTTCAGGAGTATGGGCAAACATACCCTGTTTAGGGCCAGATAGTCAATATTTTAGACTTTGTAGACCATATATAGTTTCTCTTACATTTTCTTTATCCCCTTAAAAGTGCAAAAACAAAAACTTTCTTAGCTCAAAGATGCACACAGTAGGCCATAGGCAGGATTTGGTCCACTCTGTAGTTTGCCGACCCCTACCCTTAGCAGTTTAAGGATAAATGATAACCAAATGCTACCATAAAAATTGTGCTCGAAAACCAAGTATGGGCTTCACTCTCAGTCTATTTTAGAAAAATTAAAAAGTACCAAGTAAGATTTTCTGCACATTATTTTACCATCGACTCAAATATATATAAAGTTGTTATAGATATCTCATCTACTAACATGGAAATCTAATCATGTAACTATCTGTATTATTATTATTTGAGGAATAAACTTTATTAAGTATAGCCTACATAAAAGAAAGCACATTAAGTCATAAATGTTCATAGCTTGATGACTTTTCCCAGGGTAAACTCGCAAGTAACCAGCATCCAGATCACTACGCTGAGAATCAACCCTCGTTCTGCACCAGCCACCTCCTCCTCCTGCCTCACCAGAGAGGTAGCTAGCCACTCTCATGCCTTTACCAAGAATTAGTTGGGTCTTTTACACATTACTTTTTAAAAAGTATACTATTTAGAAAAAGTATTTATACTTTTACAAATCAAATTTATTTCTTGTCTGGCTTGTTTCACTCAACATTGTTTGTAAGATTAATTCATGTTGCCATTTATAGTGACATCTATTTTAAGTTTTAACTTAAACTTACTGATTAAAAAAAGGTTTACCTGAATAATAATGTTAAAATCATTTAGTTCTACAACTTCTGCGATGTAAACAGCAGTTTGCTACCCTGCCCTCATTCTCTCTTTCCTTTTATTAGACAATCATTTTCAGTTTTACCTACAGGTTTTGAAATAACATTCCTACATTGTCTTTTATTGTATTCAAAGTTATAAGCATCATTCATTGACTTCCCAGCACAGAAGTCACAAACCACTCGCGTCTATTTCCTACCCCATATACATACTTCCTACCCCCTTATTTTTTTTTACACCTCATTTTTATTAGACAGAAAATCAGTATTTTAATTATCACTATTTAATAGTATTTACAACAGAAGCATATACTGTAAACACCCCCCACATCTGTTTTGCTACAGTTAGTAATTATCTGCTGTTTTCCTTTGTTGGGTTTCCTATGCACTTATCATTAATTCAACCTCAAACTTCTGTTCTAAATACATTCAACTATATTATATAATTCTATCTATTTTATTGTCATTAAGTCACCCCCAGAGCTTTCCAACCTGCTCCAATCCAGGCCCATCATCTCTGAATCTCCCTTCACTATTCTAGAGATTTCCTTCTTTCTCATGATGGACCCTATGTTTCCTGGATCCCACATTATTTCTTTTTGATTTAAAACTTTACTTCACTGGAAGCACATCCTCCCGTAGTTTCCCAAAAACAGAGGCCTTCCATACCTGAAAATGTCTTTATTCTTCCATGTAGTTTGTTTGTAGATAATTGTAGTTTGGAAATAACTATTCCTCAAAATTGTGAAGGCAATGCTCCTTTGTCTTCTAGTCTCTAATTTACTACTGAGAAATGGTCACTATGATTCTTGAGTCTTGTACGAAGCTCCTCTCCCACCCCTGCACCCCAGCTCTTTGGAAATTTGTAGAACCAGTTCTCTGTTTCCATTGTTTTAAAAATTCATAACCATATGCCTAGGTCCAGATTATTTTTATATACTATGCTATGCATGTGAGTCCTTTCAGTCAGGAAACTAATTACTTTTGATTTATTATCCTTGATTCATTTTTGTTGACTTCCTTCCCTCCATTTTCTTTCTGGATCACCTGGCAATTAGGTGTTAAATCTCCTGAAATGAATCTCTAAATTTAAATTTTCAAGAGCTCTTGTAAATATTATCCAGTTTTTGTTTCCAAAGATTTAATATATTATGTCCTGCGGATAATGACAGATTTTCATTTTGCTTTTAAAGTTTTTATTGGACTAGCAAAAAAGTTTTTCTAAGCTTCATTTTGGGGCTTGGCTTCATTTTTATATTCCATATTAGAAGTTTTCCTCTCTGCTTCTGTAAAAAGGACACTGGAACTTCATGTACATGGTAGGGCTGTTGACTACGAGTACACTGAGTGACCTGCTTTGGGAAGATCAGATTTCCCCAAGAAGGCTTTTCCTCTCTTGACTGGAGAATAGGACTAGTTGGCAGGGAGCCTGGTCAGGAAGAAGGCTGGAGTTGAGAAAATGCAAATATGCTTAACTTCACTTAACTCCTCAACACACAAACCCACAAACACATCCTCAGTTATTCTTGTGTTTCCCTGCCTAGAGATTCTATTTCACCCTCTCCAATCTCCCACTTAAAGGGCACAGAGTAAGGAAGCAGATCTAGTGTTCTAATTTTTCCTTAAACTTTAAGCAGTTTTCCTGTTTTGAACCTCACCTCACCTTGATACTTACAGTTATCTTGTGACACCAATTTCTGGCTCTTTCAGCATTATATATCAGGTTGCTTCTCAGCTTTCCAAGCTGACAGCTTAGAATTCAAACTTTCTCCTGTCTGTTAAATCAGTTTACTCACTTATAAATTGCCAAATCTAGTTGCTATCCTCTCTGCTGTTCACTTTCCCTGGGGATTTATAACCTTTTCTTCTTAATCCATTTAATTTCATTTAAGTTTTGAGAGGAAACAACATTGAATACAGACCTTAAATCTACCAACTTTAATCTTGTCACTAATTATTTACTGCCGGAAGCCAATTCCAGCATGTCATAATTGCAAGAGCTTCATTGAAAGGTTGATGGAACTTAGGAACTCAACAAGGGCTGATTCACATATGTTATCACCTGTAGGGAATGGCTGAAGGCATTCCCCAAACCTGAAAAGGATGATTGCTTGCTGCCAGACAACTCAGGGAATCTTAATCTACATGTTATTGCCTCCTTCTGGTTAAACACCTGAACAGTCAGAGGTAATTCTTCCAATCTGACAATGGATTCTGGAGGAACCCTAGCTCTAACTTGCCTTAGGACAATTTGTGTTATAAATAGCAAGGGGTTCTGAGACTGGGAGAACTTAGTTCCTTTAGCTGAGCTCCTCTGACTCCCTATAATGCCTTTCAAAATTATGTTTTGTCTCTGGACTCTTGATTAATTTACGAACAGTGCCTTCTTTGGATTTCCCGAACCCTTCTAGATGCTGGATCAAGACCATTAATTTACAAATTTATTTGTATATATCTTGAGTATTCTGAAAATTTTAAAGTAGATACATATACCCTGTTTCCTTGAAAATAAGACAGTGTCTTATGTTAATTTTTGCTCCCAAAGATGCGTTAGGTCTTATTTTCAAGGGATGTCTTATCTTTCCATGTGTTAGGTCTTATTTTCGGGGAAACACGGCATTATGTGGTCTTCTAAAATAGCTTTTCCCACCTCTTGTCATTGCTTGAGAAATCAGAATACAAAGATTACTTATAAAGCCAAAAGTATGGGTTTGATCAAGATTTTAAAGGTTTTAAAACACAAAATAAACATTTTTCTCCATTCCTGACCTATACCCCTCAAAAACACAAATAAAAGCAGTTTATCAAAAATACTGGAAAATGAACTCAAAGCTTAGCTATATCTTCAGTGTAAATAGTATTTCTATAACTAAAATATATTTTAATTT